ATAAAAAATGTTAATCCATTAAATCCCAAGTTTTCAATTCTGCACATATTTTAGGTGCATACTGGTGCATTCAAATGTATTGGAAATCAAAAYCTATACCTTGTATATCCTTTATGATCATTAAGAATGAAAATACAGGGGCTGGCGTTGTGGCTTAGTGGTAGAGTGCTCGCTTAGCATGCGTGAGGCACTGGGTTCAATCCTCAGCACCACATAAAAATAAAATATTGTGTCCACCTATAACTATAAATTTTTTTTTWAAAAAAAGAATGAAAATAAAAATGTCCTATAAATAGGACACTGGAACAATATGATCTTTTACATAGGACATTGGGCAAAAATAGTATCTGGGACACTGGAATAAAAAAGGTTAACTTAAGTGATTTTTTTCATGGTTCCTTATATCCCTTTCCTTGGAAATTATACCTGGTCCCCCTAGATTTGTCCTCATTCCTGTCCTCAGTATTAGAGGTTTTATGTATTTAGTTAAATAAGAGAAGTGGAAAAATAAATTTCTGTTCTTTATAGTCTCATACTGGGGAATAAAACTGACCAAATTATATTGTTGTATGTATACAAATATGTAATAGCAGATCTCACTATAATGTGTAATTATAATGTGCCAATAAAACTAAAAATAACAGAAGTAAAAAATGTTTAGTTTGCATTTTTACGATACTGAACTTTGTAATATAAAAAGCAAGAGTTACCTCTTGACCTTCAATTCTACTTCTACCTCTAGTTCTAGCCTAATAGAACTTTTTTACACACACATATCTATGTATATACCTATACACATGACATACATACATGTACATTTTATTCTATTTGTTCAAAATCAATATTGTTCTTTCATAGAGGAAAATCATCATTTTGTCTGATACCCAAATTGTGTTTATTAAACATTAGAAAAAGAGGCAATATGTGTTAGGAGCTGTAGAGTTGATTGAAAAATCACTGTGACCATCTTTTATTTGTCTAGTCATATGTTTACACATCATTATTCACTCTTAAAACTAGGAAAAGCTTAACTATGAGAGATAAAATTTATAAGACTGATTTTTAAAATTTTTAAATGCAGGATCTGAACAATCTTTTCAACAGCTTCTGCCAGAATTTTCTTCACAGGAGGGGAGCCAGCATGCTGACCTACCAACTATTTTTAGCATTGAAGCAAGAGATACTTCCCAAGGCATGGAAAATCAGAACTATCCCTCCAAAGAACAGACTGAAATATTACAAAATAAGAAAAAAAGTGTTCATTTCCAGGTTTCCAGAGGAAATTTAAATTCCACTTACAGTTCATCGGATGAGGCTAATGTATTTCATCAATTACAAGTACAGCATAGTACTCCTTGTAGTTCTTCCTCTAGTGAGTGCTTAATAAAACATGAACAAGAAAGCAGAAGAGAAAGATGGGACTTTGAAGAATTATCCAAAAAAGATGTCCTTACAGTGTTACCCAGCCAAGGACTCACTGCAGATGAAAATGAAACTTGTGGAGTTTTAGCTACAGATCCACATGTTGAAATTGATTCTCAGTTATGTGTAAGAACAGCGGAGATGGGAACTTCAGTTCAGACACCACATTCATTAAGTATACAAAATGAAAAATATTTTGAGAATTCAACTAAAACTGAAACTCCACAAGTCATAAACCTGTCTCAAATAGCACAATCAGAGTCTCTTAAAAGTTCTGGATCATTTTCATTACAGAGTTCTATTCCAATCTGGGTAAGTGAAATCTATGGAAAGATTTTTCAATATAAATGAAGCAATAAGGTTACTTATTAATATTTCTGAGATGAAATGAGAAAATTTCCAAATTTTGAAAGCTTATGTTTAAGAGTTTTACTACTTTGTTTTTTTGGTTGTTAACTTTCCACTGATAAAAGACTGAAAATAAGGGCTTCATCTATAACCACAGAGGTGTTTTAGTTGGTTATTGTTTTTTCCTCCTTTACATTCTTCATTATGTAAAACTAGTTACTTCCTTTGGAAYATAATCTGGTCTTGTGGCCTACATTTGGCTGGAACTCAATAGCCACTGCTGTCTTTAGGATATACCCTCTCCAGTTCTATAATTCCCCATCTGTCTAGCCACATTAACATTTATTTWGGTTAGTAATCCTTTCAATACAGCTACCATACTATTTTACCTACCCCATGCCCAAAGTCCATTCTAGTATTTTTAGTATGCTGTGGTGGGGGTAGGTCCCAAGGGGGAATCTATCATCTGTTGATCTTACTCTACAGTATTTTTGCATTTATGTCCACRTAAGATTCAAAGTGCAAATTGTATATTTTGAACATTTAAAGGGCTATTTTCATGACTTCACGTTTGTTTTACCAGGAGACAGAATCTGGTCATGGTATAATGGAAGAACCAGAACTTACTTTAGTAAGCACCAGTGATATTAGCATGATTGAAGCTGAATTTGCAAACTTATCTCTAGAAGAGAAGAATGGGGGAAAAGGCTACCTTCAGGTAAATTTTATAGCAGTCATTAATTTAAATATGCCTTATACAGGAATCTGACTGAATTGGGGAACAGAATAATTTACACAAGGCATGCAACATGGCTAAAGCCCTCAAGGCCTCCTAAATGCATTGCTTTGCAGTCCCCAATATACACATTCATGATGGTGTAGATAGTAAGACTTGAGAAGCAGGTATCCTAAAAGGTAAGGAATTCCAGGTCTGGGGCAAATTCACTTTACTTTGAATTTTGCAGATCTGAAAAGATGTTGCTGTTTGAAAAACAGTGAATAGTAAATTCTCTGCATGTTCTTTGTTCCACTACAAGCAGACCATCTGATCCTCACACACTTGGTAGTGTGAACCCTAACTGGACTCTACTTTCATTGTCTATTGTTTCTTGATCACATTTGTAATATTCCAGTTGTGGTTTTAGGTCATTTCTTACTAGCTAACTGATGCAGAAAAGTGTTTTCTAAAAGCCAGTGCTAAAAAAAAAAATTCTTTTTAGGTATAAGAGGAAATTAACATGACAGGTTGTGGGAATACACAGATGGGAAAGGGCTATAAGAGCAATGCCATATAAGCCAAGCATGGTAGTACACTGCCTACTACCAGAGGCTGAGGCAGGAGAGATGGCAAGTTGTAAGCCAGGCTCAGAATACCTATAATGCTGCCCCAAAACAACTGAGACAATTAAGGTGGTGGGAACCAAGGGTTCCAAAACAACACAAATTTATGTTCCCCCACCTAACACACTAATAAAGAACATGTTTAAGATGTTCAAGGACTTGTACAGATAGTTGGCAGAACAATGGAGTCCTAATTTTGGTGACAAATCATTTTTTGAAGAGGACAACATGACTGAATTTTCCTGTCTTTAGGTGAATGAATTCATTCCATCAGAAACAGAAAATTCAGATTATCCAGTCATATCAGAGTTTTCTATGCAGAAGTCAACAGAATCTACAGGTATGGCTGAGTATCTGAAATGGTGAGTCTAGGGATCACACCTTTTAAGCTATATACTTAAATAATTCAAGCACGGCTCCAACTCTTTCTTAAAATAGAAACACTGCCAAAATGTACCATGGCAGGAAGCTTACAAGAAGCATTTGTAAAGAGAAAAAAATCATTTTTGGAGAGATCCTACCAGAGGCAGAAAGAAATAAGGAATAAGAGTAAACTCACTGAAAATTCCCAAACCAAAACAGTTAAGGAGAAACAGTGTACAGGTATGCTGTCTTTGAATAATCAATCGACTCTCAACCACTTTCCTGGATGATTGTRTGAAATTAAAATTGTCATACCAGGGCTTTGCCTATGCCCTAGTAAGCATTGAGACTCTACATAATCTGGCCTTTATTTCCCTTTTCCCAGGTTCATCTGTGAGTCGCCTTAAGGGAGTCAATAAAGTTAAAATGAATTTTCCAGAAGAAAGAAAGAATGCGCACACCCTCATGCACCAAAGGGCTCTAAGGTAGCTTTTTTTTCTTTATTCTTAGCAGCTCATTTTTCTTCAATATTGTATTTAATTCCATATAAATTACTTTCAGACTATATAATCAATTAGCTGAAGTGAAACAACAAAAGGTAGAAAAAGCAAAACAAGAAGCTTATGCCCAGAACAGAGAAAGGGCAAAAGAATTTCATAAGGTAAACAAGCCCCCTCCCTTCTTATATTTAGGGCATACCACAATAGGAACTGCTGCTTATTTTTTATTTATTCTCTCCACAGAAAACACTAGAGAAACTTCGAGCCAAAAATACAGGCTGACTCTTCTTTAGAATGGTGTTTTTCTTTTAAAATTGTGTAATTTTAAGTCAATAAATTTTTATTTAAGGAATTTCCATTGTGATTCCTTTGTTGTCCATTCCAAGAATACCCTAAAAAAGAGCATAGACATTGTTGGTTAAACATTCCCACATCTATCAATCTTCATGATCACAAGTTGCTAAATRAATGTTATCTCCTCAGGAATATACAGCACTACTGAGTGACTATGGGGTCCTGTGGAGAACATCAATCTGTGGTCACTGCGTTAAGGGCTCCTGGTTTCACAGCCCCAAAAGCCCTCTTTGAAATGACCATTGTATTATATAGGTCTCAAGTACACACACATACCTTTTTAGAAGATCTGATGCTTATCTGTTTGTTTCAAGAGCCCTATAATATAATAAGGATATAGAGAATTAGAGCAATCAAGAATGAGTTCTGGAGCCATATCACCAAACTGGTGTAAACAGTTTGTGTGGTTTGGCCCCAGAAACCTAATTATCTACCATGGTGAGAATCTGAATGTTTTAAAAGTCTAGGCAACATAGACAAAAAAAAAAAAAAAAGTATACTTGAATGTTCCCAATAGGTTGAATGCTAGCAAAGTAGCAGATACAAAACCCCTAGAGGGAATTATTTTATGGTCATGTCCACAGCAAATAAGAAACTGTATTCTAAAAGCCTTGGTAATGACCATTATACCCTGGAAAATACATTATAAGGTTAAAAAAAAAAAAGTTACTTGCCAGATGATTTCACAATTCTCCACCTGTGAAAAAATTATATTTAAAATGCGGTCATCATTTCATCCAATCATTTAGAGAACCCMAAATGCCCTGATCACTAACCATTTTAAGGACAACCATTTTGGAAAATACATAGTATATTTAAATTTGKATGTTCAGAAAGGCTATTTTCATTCAGCCCATTCAGAGCAGTTGAACATATTGCCCATCATCATAACATAGCTAATCAGTGTTGAGCACAGTTATATCTTTTCCTCTTAAATACTGAAAAATCTGATTTGGGTGCAATGATTATTAGACTGCCTTTTTGTAACAAGTAAAAATCTTACCTAAGTTATTCAGGATTTAATTTCTTCAAGTAATTTGACTTTAGGATCCTAGGAATTGAATTGTACAATTTCATTAATCATTTCTTATCATTTTTAACATTTTTCAATATTTTCACTTATGAACTTAAGCAAAATGTTACAGGTCTCATTGTCACCACTGCAAGATAGATACTGTGATGGAAGCATAACCTGTGTCAATTTAGCCACATTGACCAATTCTGAACACYGATCAACAGTGCCCATTCTCATCTAGAATGAGGCTTTATAAATATTCCTCTGAAGCTTACCCAAACACTATGCAAAAGGGCTTCTATATCTGTATGAAATTTCTTTTCTGCTTACCAAATAGGAGAAAACAAACAGCAGAAGCAATATCAACAAAGCCTTATACTTTGGGATATAGATGGATCTGCTTGGTTCTCAGGTGTTGACACCTTACAAAAAGAAAAGCATTATTCACCATTTAAGACTATTAAAATGAACTAACAAATACCTATAAAAATGCTGTATCAATAGAAATACCAGGTTTAACATGCACAAAGCCAAGAAAACCAACGATGCCAGATACTGAATTTCTATTGCACTGTCCTTTGAACACGCCAGCAGGAAGAAACTGCTGAGTGCAGATACCATGCAGTGCGGAGACTAAACTGTTCCCTCTATTCCCAAGTCTGTTGTGCTGCTGCCAAAAAATGTGATGAGGAAACTACCTTTAAAAACTCTAATGACCTGGTATATATGTGTAATAAGAATTGTAACGCAAAAAAAAGTATACGTATGTATGAAGACAAAAAACTCTTAAATGATCCAGCCTCTCTAAATAYTGCGTAGGATATAAGGCCATGAGTCCCATTCCCACACTAAAAATGTCAATGTCACTTGCTCAAATTGTCAAAGCCTTTCATTTGTCAGAATGCCTTTCATTTCCTATTGAATCAACAAATCCAGGCAAACATGGTGTTAGAATAAATCATGTAGAGCKGTCATGTAATACAAAGGAGGAAGTTAGGAAATACTTCATGTAATGTTAGAATGCCTAAGATCTTCAAGTCCTTAATAAATTAGTAAAAATTTCACTTACTTCTCTAACATAAAAATCACCAAGTTCAAATCATATTCACTCCTATAGAGAAATTACCAAATGAAAAATTTAGTGAGGGACACTATAAATATTCTAATATAAAAACCAAAACATAAGGGAAGTTTCATGTGCAGACACATATATTCATTCAGCTCTGTCAGAATAAAGTTTTAGTTCATATCTGTGTCATTCAGCAGTTGAACAGTTAAATTCATCATTTGAACTGTAATGGCATTCCAAAGGATTATACTGAATCCTACAAAAACTTACCTATTATCACACTCAGTACTGCAAATGTGGAATATGCCTATATCTAAGATAAAAAGAAAAATTAGGTCTTTCATACTTTTTAATTGTCTTGCAGTTACTTCCCACAGGCCTAACAAASAGTCCTATGAGGAAAGCAAAACCACAGAATTACTCTATGAGGCGTTTCCAACGACGAGTGGCTACAAGAGAAGCCMCATCGGGATAGACCTCAACCAGTGTTTAGATAAATGGAAGACTCCAGAGGAAAACAATGATTAGCAAGAATTTCTGATGCACAATAGAACTATAGTTAAAAATAATAATAATAACCATTGAATTTCACCCTCCCTTTTAAATATTGAGTATACTTGAACTGGGAAACCATGTTTTAAGACTTCCTAAGAAAACTTTCAAGTAAAATGAAACCAGTACTTCAGCACTATAAAATATTTGAATCCAAGATTGCTTTCTGGCAGTCAATGTCATAATTCAAAATTAAATAAAGCCACAAGTATTTCATTAAAATGAATTAATCTAATATACTTACACCAGTTAAAATATCTTCAAACCAATGCATCATTTTCTGAAAAGACAGCCTTCAAAAAACAAAAAAAAACAAAACCTTTCTCTTGAATCCCAATATGAAAATTGGAACATGCAATCAACAAAGCTGAGATTCTCGTTTTAGAACCTTTTCATTTATCAAATCACATCATTTTAAGCTATAATAGACAGTATACCTGCTTATATGTATCAAAACTCATACTGAACAATGAGTTCTGGGTTGCAAAAGAGGATTTATTTTTTGCACTTGTCTACAAGTCTTTGTCCAAAAGTTAAACAAAAACACACACAAGTGCTACTGTACAATGCAGTGTATTTTAATAGAATAGCTAGCTGCACAATGTTGATTACAGTAGAAAGAAAAATGGAAGTTGAAAGCAGAGCACAGTGGCACACATCTCTAATCCCAGTGAAAGAGGCCGAGATTCGAGGCCAGGCTCTGAATCCCCACCCAGTCTCAAATTTTTGGATGTAGCTCAGTGGTAGAACACCACTTGGTTCGATCTCCACTGGGGAAAAAAAAATGCCACTTTGGTATTTGTCAGTAAGAAATGTTTTAGGAAATCTAAGGAAATTGAATATTTGGTTTTATCTTTCTATTCAGGATTAAAATCTTACWAAAGTTATTCTTTACATTTGTTTTACAAAGTTATTCACAAGTTGCTTGTTATTTTCTCTTTCACAAGGCTTTCACATTTATGCACATTAAACTTCTTTACTCATTTCTTCCTATGAAAAGTCACTTTTCTGTATATTATTTACCTGCTTTGACTTCATCTCCTTTAAGGGCACTCTGTATTCTGTCCAATATTTTTGGCATTAGAAGCTCGCTTTTTAGAAAAAGTGGTTTCTTTATTATTATTCTCATGCTCTAGATATATGTTTGTCTTCTTTGGGAAGTCAGAACTTACTATAAAACAACTATCCTCCTGCATTAAAAAGAATATTAAACAATAACTAAAAGCAATTACAAATGTTTAAAGACTAGGTTACTTGAAATAAACTAAACTACATCTAGATTTTAAAAATCTAAATTAGCATCTGCATATTTTTTCTTTTAATAGCCTAACACCACGCATTAAAACGTTCATAAAATTAGGGGTAGGCATGGAATGCAATGGTAGATCACTCATTTAGCATGCAAAAGTTCCTTGATCTAACCCCCCATAAAGACCAAAAAATTGAAGAGCCCATTTTCTCATTATCAATTATATAAATTATTATTTCCTGCCGAAATTATTGGACATAATATTCCTCCTATACTAACTTCAGCATTCYTCACGACAGGATAAAAATAAATCACTTACTACCAACTTGATATCACATTCATGTTCAAGATGTGCAGTCTCCTCATCTGCTCTGTAATATTAAAATGCATAAGTTAATGGAGGTGGAGTTATGTCTTGTGGTAAAAGCACTTGCCTAATGTGTGTTCAGCACTGGGTTTTATTCTTAGCACTATATATAAATTAATAAATAAAAATACTTTTAAAAAGGCACAACTTAATGATAAAATATTCTAATTAGTTATATATTCTGCTGACATAATTCAAACAGTAATACTAGTCACGTCTTGTTTTAATAGTGGATGTTTTGTGTGCCGAGTTCAGCTAAAATATCCTAATTAACCTACTATATGTCTATGTTTTGATGGTATCTATGTATTAATGGTAGCTGAGTGAGGTGGCACATGCCTATAAATCCATAGAGTTGGGGAGTTGAGACAGGAGAGCCCCAAAGCCCAACAATTTGGTAAAACCCCAAAGCATAATAAAAAATTAACATGTTCTCCACTTCTATCCAAATTTCATTCTTTGTGAGGACGTAAACTCCAGTATGTATATATACCATATTTCTTCATTCATCTGCTGAATGACACCTATGCTGGTTCCATTACTTGACTATGGGGCACTATGCTGTAATAAGCATGGGTATGACAATTAAGTACAATATGCTGATTCATTTACATAAATACCAAGAGGTGGTATAGCTGTGTCATATGGTAGTCAATTCCTAGACCTTAGGAATCTCCATAGTGCTTTCCAAGTTGCTGCCAATCTGCAGTCCTACCATCAACTCATGGGTGTCTCTTAAGTTACATATAATCTATGCCCAAAGTTATTTTACATGATTCCACTTACACAGACTCTTCAATAGGAGAAATTGATCCATCATCATCCAAATATTTGTATCTACGACTATCAAGATCTTCTTTTTCCAAATCTTCACTAACATTCATTTGCTTCAAGGATTCCTTAAGGTGGTGTTCATACTTCAATTTTTCAATGTAGTTAAAAAATCCTCTTGCAACAGCTTGCTATTAAAAACACATTTTTGTCTTAGTCTTACAAAATTAAGGTGTCTTACTCCATGAAAAAGTCAGATACTTATATTTAAAACAATTAATCATACCCTCACTCACACACTTGAATCCTAACCATTCTGTACTTCTGAACCAAATTACCAAATGTTTATTATAATATTCTTAAACAAAAGATTACAAAAAACATCAATCCTCTCAAATAATTATAGGTTCCAGCAAGACTTTATATTAATCATGCATTCATTCAGCAGTCAATTGTCAAATATACTGCTAAGTATTAGATTATTCACGAAGGAATTCCATCAGAAACAGCTAACCTTTAATGTCTACTACACTTTGGAGATACCAGTCCAACTTGTATTAATGCAAAAACTGGGGAATCATTTGCTTCAGGGTTATGTTTAAAGACCTGATGACACCAAGGGATTTTATATTAAGCAGATTTGGCCTGCCATTATTCAGATTCTTAAATTCACAGAAGAAATATGCCAGGAAGAGTATACCCAGAAACACTAGTGAAGTTTGTCCTTTATGATGGAGTAGATTTTATGTGAAGTAAATATAGAATAGTATCCTGAAAACTGCGAAGGACCTGAAAACTGGTCCAGGTATATCTTAAGACAATTCTATAAATGGCCAGGTCATTTCAGACATTTTATTTTTGTGTATCCATTACATACAAAATACTAACTTACCTCAAAGGCTAAAATTTTTCTCCAAGGTAATGGTTTTCTTTCATTCTCAGATTGTAAAAATGGGAGTCTAGATCCTTTGTTTTTAATTTGTTTCTTATCTATTTGTGACCTCTTGGTTTTTCTTCTTCCTTCTGGCTTTTCCTTTGTTCTTAATTTTGGCTTGTACTTTCTCTTCCTCTTTCTTCGTTTCTTTTTCTTAAATCTTTCAAAAATAGCTTTTAAACTCAATGGTTTTGGTTCTATAGATGAATCACTTGATGAATCTGTAACACTTTCAGGTGAATGAACAAATTTTCTAGTGGGGTTTCTTTGGCTTCTTTTAGGTGGGGAAGTAACACACTGGGTTTTAAATAAGCTGCTACCAGATGAGGAGTCATCACTAGGAAAATGAAAAAATTCTGTTGTAATGCTAATTACTCTTAATACTCAATCACACATGTGCTTTTCTTCTAGGATCAACTCAGGAAAACATTCTCAGAATACCTAAATATTTTCAGAAAGGTACAGTACCAGCTAGTCTCAGGTCCTGACAACCATATCTAAAATGGCCATAGTACTGTTAAAAAAGAAATGTTATCTAAGGAGTGAATAAAGAAAATGTGGCAAATATATACAAAGGAGTATTACTCAGCAATGAAGAATGACTTAATGACATTTGCCTGCGAATGGATGAATCTGAAGACTAACATGCTAAGTGAAGTAAGTCAGTCCCCAAAACCAAAGGCCAAATATTCTTTGATATGTGTAAGCTAACCCATAATATGGAGGTGGGGAATAGTGAGGGGTAGAATACAATAGATTAGACAGTGGAATTAATTTGACAGAATTTTCCCAGATACATATATGAAAACAGTGAATCCCATCATCATAAGTCCATAGGAATGAGATTCTTAACTAGAATAAGATATAAATGCTTGCTTGCACAATTATATCAACATGGATTCTACTGTTGTATAACTAAAAAGAACCAATAAAAGTTGTCTGATTTGCTGCTAGTGTCTCCTCTAAGCATACAATCTATTAGACAAAAACTGGACAATTCAGTCTGGAAGAGATACCAAGAAGATACCATCTTCCTAAACCAAGAATATATTATAGTATAATAGATTTTGAATCAAAGTACTTGCAATAATCCAATAAACCTGGAAGGTGTCATCTGTTTTCCTTTCCAATTACTGAAATTATCTTAACCAATTATACACAATGATTTATACTTTCTTAGTAATTCAAACACTAAACACTTTGACYGAAACTACCATTCTCCCCAGAAAGTTCATTTACCTTTGGTTTTCAACTTCCACAGCTGCATCAGACACCAGATAGTCAAGGGAATCCATTCCTGATTTATCCATCACTTCTGTTTTGACTTAAAACTGTTCTCTGAAATTATGAAAATTCAGAAAATGTCATGCAGCTTCCCTAAGCAATAAAGGCTTACACAGCCAAGATATAGAAAGTACAAGCAGTCAAGCCATGTCACTCTACATGAACCATGCAACTCTGTGAATTTAGGCAAAATAACTTCTTAAGCTTTTTAAGTTCTAGGAACATAGCAATTTCTTTAAAAAACCTAGAAACTGCATTCACAGGTGCTTTCAGTTTTTACATGATAATTAATGTGCAATTACTAATACTAATGTACAATCAATGGCCAAATATATAATCTAAAATTCTTAAGCCTGAAATTTTCATTTACTCTGCCTTTTCATGTTCATCTCTGCATTCATATTGTCATATCTTTGATTCTGTCTTTGATCTTATAGTTGATGAAAACTAATTTTCAGCAAGCTAAAAACCACACAGAAACTGCCTTGTCACCATTTTCTAATAGTATACAATAAGCAATAAAATCTTTATAAGACTTAAGACGTAAGATGTGTCTATTTACTGCATCTCCCGTCTTTCATTTTTCATTGTATTAGCTAGTTTACTTTAAAACTGACATGTAAGCCGTGATATTAAGTTCTAGAATGATAAACCAGTAAACTATTTCAGGTATAAAATCTCAAATTTGTGAAATAAGACAGATCCATGTGACAGTTTTCCTAAATGCAAAATCCTGTCATTACATCAACTACTCAAAAATCAACATTTGCTCCAATAATATTGTTAGGGGAAAGACAGATGAGGATGGTGAGGACGTAAGATTAAGAGAACAATTCTATAAAATGGGCCCACTTTCCTGTTCTGACCCCCACATGCTTCCTTTTCCCAAAAGTATTTAACCTGCAGCCTTGCCTGGCCTAAGTGGACAGTATTTCACATTCCTCAGAAAACTGTTACCTGCAAGGAAAGGAAGGCAGGAAATATCATTGATAAGAGGATTCCAAGTTGTTCTGGAGGGAGASACTTTGTGACCCTTTTCACAAACCAAATTGGCTTACAATAATTCCTTTTAACCATAAACCTGTAAAAATTGATTTGAGTTCTAATTAGAACTGCTCAGCTTGGGCCAAGGGAACCTAGAATTGTCACGGCAATAGGTAGTTGAAAGTCTGATTTCACCTTGCTGTAAAGTGGAGAGGTGGACCTGGGTAGGACAACTTCTCTGGGAACACTGTCCCTTCCTTTCCTCTCTTGAGAACTCTCTCCTCTGGGGGTCCGTTTACTATCCCTTCAATAAACTGATGCCTGTTATTCTGAAAACATGTCTGAAATCTTTGRCTTGATCGCAACAGTCGGAGTTTGAAGTGTAGGTCTTCTGGCTGCCTCAGTTTCTTGGAATGCCCCAGCTCTGTAACAGCATTAATGCGCCAGCTCAATTCTTTTGTAAATTTACTGAAATACAGCTAGCTCCAAAATCACTTTAAAAAAATCTATGTAGAAAGCATCCCTACTTAGTTGTCGCTTCCAATTGTGGGATTATTTTTTGGAGGCTACGTGGCCAAATAAGACACTTAACGAAACTAACTTGTACTTGGTACCTTGCGCTGGCTGAGAAGCTCCAGGAAGCACCCAACCTCAGGCAAGAAAAATGGCGTCACACAATAGTGACTTCACCCTATAAGATTTGCCTAGACGAGGTAACATCAATATTGACTCGGTGAACTACGCCGACACTATAATCGCGCTCACGTAGGTCTCAATCCAACCCCAAGGCCTGATTTCTGAGGCTAGATCCACAGCAACACGGCGTCCTGGGAAAACTACACCTGCAGCCCTTCACGCAGGCAAGGCCCGGACAGCCACCGCCTCTCCCCTACTTATCTACAAGCCCCCCCCCCCCCCGCTGCATCCACAAGCGCCGCGCTGTGGGGGCCTTGGGCCACATATGCGAGGCCTGCAACAGGACTCCGCGACTGACTCGGGCCATGAAACCCTGGCGGTTCGCGCCCATAAGCTTCCCCACCCGGGAACTACAGCACACACGAGCAGCTTACCATCTCCAACCGTAWGGAAGAAAAAGAAATCGCCACTCTCGCGAGCTCCCTAAATGTGGGGCTGAATTCTCGCGTTACTACTTAGCTCTCGGGACGAAGAGAGTGCTGGGAAAACAGACGCGTCGGTGCACTTCCGACTCCCGCGAGGGGTGGAGCAATTGAAGCGGGCGGAGCCTACCCACTCAACCAAAGGAGGCGGGGTCGACCGAGGAGAGGTCACCTAGGTCCGTGGGCTTCGCCCACAGTTTTGGTAAGTTTAATAGCCAAGAACATTTTTAGCAAATAAGTTGTGAGGTCAAATGAACTGAATACATGTGAACAACGAGGAAGTGGGTGATTTGTTTCCGGTGAACTTGCGTTTGCTAAAATGAGATTGTCTACTTTTGTCCTCAAACATGTCATCTGTGTTAAAATATTGGGAAAGGCTCATATTTTGATCTGACTCCAAATGTATAACATTTGTATTGAAAGCCAGTATYATTCCCTTAGTACACCCGCTTAACATCCCACTCATGTACATTTGCTACCACAGTACTTTTCTGCGCCTACCAGAAGTTCCATATTTTTAAACAAGTTATTCAGGCTGTAGCTTCCCAGGGTTAAACTTCTGTTTCTAATTCGGTAGGGAAATAATATGACAGATCTTTTGAGGTAGTAAAGGATATAAAGTTAGGATTATTTATTTGGATTTAACTTGAGTCCTTATTCCTACTGTAAGCATAAGAATATAAAGTGCTTTTATTGCCAGAAGTGATGGTGCACACCTATAATCCCAGCTACGTGGGAGGCAGAGGCAGGACTATGGCAGCCTCAAAAACTTAGGCCCCGGGCCTGGGGATATGACTCAAGAGGTAGCACGCTCGCCTGGCATGCGTGCAGCCCAGATTCAATCGTCAGCATCACATACCAACAAAGATGTTGTGTCCGCCAAAAACTAAAAAATAAATATTAAAAATTCTCTCTCTCTCTCTCTCACTCTCTCTTTAAAAAAAAAAAAAAACTTAGGCCCTAAGCAACTTAGTAAGACCCTGTCTRTAAATTGAAAAATAAAAAGGGCTGGGGATGTGGTTCAGTGATAAATCACCTCTGGTACCAAAATCTAAAAATGATAATAATAAAATGCTTTTATTATCCTCATTATAAATGAATATGCTATTCATTGTACAGATTTTGATGTTTATAAATAAGTACATGCTAATTGCCTGATAGAGTGTGATAAAATTTAGGAAATCAGTGAAGACTACACAGTAATTATTTTCATAAAATATCTGTCAATCTATTTAATAAGAAAAAATTAAAATATCTTACTCTGAAATAATCATAGATTATTCAACTCAAAAACAGGTTTAAGATTTTAAGTATGATTATTAGAACTTCTTGTCAACAGTTATGTATATTTAACTTGGGAGATCGGATTATATTAAATAACTAAAGGACAGTAAAAGTTAGTATTTGATAAGTACTAAAGTAAATGTCTCCAGGCACAGTGGTGGAGCTWGTAGTCCCAGCTTTACAGAAGACTGAGGGGGAAGGATGACTGGAGCCAGGCCAGTATGGGCAACAAAATGAGCCCCCCCCCTTATCTCTTTTTTTAAAAAAAAGTAAATTTCAAGTCTTAAATATATGCAATAGCATGTTTATAGAGCATATGTTTAGAAGTATCATCAAAACTAGAAAACCAGCTAGTTTCTATGAAATCTATGAATCTTTGGAAATTTTTAAAAATACATTTTTGGAAAAGTAATTCAAATGATTCTGACTTTTCATATGCTAAGTAAGCATGTTAAAACCAGAGACATTCCAGTTAATGAGATGATCTATTAACAATTTTTTTTTTTTTCAGTACTGAGGATTGAACCAAGGTTACTCTTCATGGAGCTACATCCCCATCCCTTTTTTATTTTTATTTTGAGATAGGGTCTCCCTAAGTTGCCAAGGCTGGCCTCAAACTTAAAATCCTGCCTCAGCTTCCTGAATCGCTGGGATTATAGGCATGTGCTACCATGTCCTGCTCTATTAACAGGACATGGTTTTTGACCAACGGTTTATTGAGAACTAAAATACACAGGGGTCAGTTTGTAGCAAAGGGTACAAAGGAGAAGTACAGCTTTCCAGTGAAATAATGTATTGTCCTTAACTTCAGAGCCTTGTGAACAGGCCTTACATTTGTCTAATAAATGGCAATGAAGAATATTCTAAAAGAAAAAGAATAAAACAAACAATTCCAGCAGTGCTCTTAGAAATAGAAATTTGCTTTAGAGTTTTGTCCTTAATCCTTATTGTGATTGGTCTGGAGTAGGATTCTCCACCCACTTTGTCATCATTGTCTTTTTTTTTTTTTTTCCTTTTCTGCCTTCATTTTATTTATCTCCCTCTACTTGCACACATCATCACTTGAACATTTAAGGTAAGATACTAATCTCTGTAAATGTATACCTATTTATTGTAAATTATACTAAGCATGTATTTTAAAATATCAAATTATAATCAGCTAGGTTATCAGAATCATTGAACATGAAAACTATTTACCAAGAAAGTGTTTATTTTTGAACAAACTAAAATTTAAATTTCAGAATCTAATCGTCTGTTTCCATTCTACTAGTGATTTAAATCTTCTTTTGTAAAAATGATAGCCTAAGAAATTTAATTTTTAGCTTAAATGTCAAAATAGAGTAAGAAACACATTATAGAAATATTTATATGTGTATTTTATATGCTAGCTATATATCATATATATGTTACGTAGTTACATAGACTCCAGTACTGTTATCTACAGGCATTTAGACACTTATTCACAATCCTTAATAAGTGCCTTTTGCTTCAAGATCCATATTCCTTTGACCAACCATTAGAAAATTACATGTTCAACCCAGATAGATGACCAATAAAACGAGTCATATATATCTTCTTATATTGGTATTTCCTCTTATTAGTCTATTTTAAATGCCAACTATTTAAAACTATTGGGCTAAAAATATAGACAGTCTTAGCATAGAGTTCTTGCCTAGCATGCATGAAGCCCTGAGTTCAATTTCCAGCTCTGCAAAAAAAATAAAATAACAGTATTAAAAGAGGCCACTTACCCATTGTTCACTTGGAATATTAAATGCTAGAACTGTGGTTTCCTTTCTGTAAGGACAGAAAAGCCTAAATGCCCTTTGCCCTCATTATATAACTGAACTCTTAATGTTCACTTTCAGAACGGCAGGCACTGTTCACATCTGGTACACTGTGAACTCTTGTGATAATCGGCCAACAGGAGCTTTGATTGTACAACCTTATACCTAAAGAAGAAAGAAAATGGCTCATTCTGAGTTTTCTTTTCATGTGCCAAGTCTAGAGGAACTTGCTGAAGGTAAAAACAATATTAACTTTGGATTTTTAAGAACTATTTTAAGAGAAAAAAGATTCTAAGATTTATATGTATCTTACTAATGTTTATCTTGTTGAAATGGTACTTCTGATACAGAATTTGTCATTTCAATATCTATTCTGTACTGTTTTTATTGAGGAACTCTTAAATTATGTCCCCTAACAAAATTAAACTCACCATTTGTAGATTCTTGATGACACCAACTTCACATGATGAAATTGACTAACGTAACCCAAAATTTAAGTACATATTATGTCCAGAGTTGTACAACTTTGCTTTATTACCTTTTTACCAGTTATAATTTTTGAGTGYGGGGGCAGTGCTGGATATTGAACCAAGGAGTATTTTACCTCTAATCTACATCCCCATCACGTTTTATTTTTTATTTTGAGATAGGGKCTTGCTAAGTTGCTTGGGGCTTTGCTGAATTTCTGAGGCTATCTTGAAATTTGTGATCCTCCTGCCTCAGCTTCCCTAGTTAACAGGATTACACCATACCTGGCCAAAATACCTTGGTTAGAGGCTAGGTTCTGCTGCTCTTTGTGTTGCACAAATATTTGGATTCAAATTGTTAGGAAATAGGTTTTATTCAAAGTCAGCTTTAAATGGAGATAAAAGAAACTTGGTTTCAAATTTCTATCTTTACAAAACTTTTTTTTTTTTTTTTTTTTTTTAGTTTTAGTTTTGGGGATTGAACCCAGGGGCACTTAATCACTGAGCCATATCTCCAGCCCTTTTTAATTTTTATTTTGAGACAGGGTTTCACTAAGATGTTTAGGACCTAACTAAGTTGCCAATGTTGGGATCCGGAAATGCTTTTAAAAGAAAAAAGGTGGGTCAGGCACTGAGGCACATGCCTACAATTCCAGCAGTTTGGGAGCTGAGGCAGGAGTATTACAAATTTTAGGCCAGCCCTGGCAATTTAGCTAAATCCTGTCTCAAAGTAGAAAATAAAAAGGGTTAGGGATATAAACAGTTAAA